ATTGTTTATCTTCCTATTGTTAAGTTGCATGAGTTCCCTGTAAATGTTGGAGATTAAACCTTTATCGGTGATATCGTTGGCAAATATGTTCTCCCATGCAGTGGGCCTTCTTGTTGTTTTGTTGATGGTTTCCTTTGCTGTGCAAAAGCTTTTTATTTTGATGTAGTCCCATTTGTTTATTTTCTCTTTCGTTTCCATTGCCCTAGGAGCAGTATCAGAGAAGAAAAATTACATTTTTATTTAAAAATTTAAAAAATATGTTTTTGTTAATTTAAGAGAGATAGGAAGAGGGAGAGAAAGATAGAAACATTGAGAAACATTGGTTGGCTGCCTTGCATGGACCTACTGGGAACTGAGCCCGCACCCTGGGCATGTACCCTGACCAGGAATCAAACCAGCTACCTCTTGGTGCATAGGACTATGTGCCAACTGTGCCACACTGGCCAGGCTGTAAAGTTAGATTTTTTATATCAATTTTAAATATATATATATTTTTATTGATTTCAGAGAGGGAGAGGGATAGATAGAAACATCAATGATGAGAATCATTGATTAGCTGCCTCCTGCACGCCTCACAATGGCATCAAGCCTACAACCCGGGCATGTGCCCTTGACTGGAATTGAACCTGGGACCCTTCAGTCCGCAGGCCGATGCTCTACCCACTGAGCCAAACCAGTTCGGCTATTCTGCAGTTTTTAGATGAAATGTTCTATCAATATCTACGAAGTTGGTCTGACCTAATGTGACATTTAAGGCCATTATTTCCTTATTAATTTTCTGTTTGGATGGTTTATCCATGGATGTAAATGGGGTATTTACTGTGATTTTCTCCCTTTATGTAATTACCTGCTACTATTTGGTGTGTAAATATTTACCAGTTATATTAGTATTCTTATTGGATTGATCCCTTTATAGTTATGTAATGTCTTTCTTTTTTTGCATTCTTTGTTTTAAAGTCTATTTTGTCCAATGTGAGTATTGCTACACCAGCTTTCTTTTCTATTTGCATAGAATATTTTTTCCATCATTTCAGTTCAGTCTATATGTCTTTCAATTTTATTTTTGTCTTTATTATTAAAAGTATTACAGATGTTGCCCCCCCCCCATTGACTCCCTCCACTGGGCCCCTGTCGGCCCCCCTACCCCCACCCCAAGCCTTCACCACACTGTTGTCTGTGCCCAGGGGTTATACATAAATACATACTAGAGGCCCAATGCACAAAATTTGTGCGAGAGTAGGCCTTCCTTCCCCCAGCTGCCAGCACCGGCTTCCCTTGCAGCCCTAGCTTCATCTGGAAGGTCGTCCGGTCTAATTAGCATATTATGCTTTTATTATTATTAGCATATTATGCTTTTATTATCATAGATAAGTTCTTTGGTGAATCTCTTCCCCCACCCCCTGCCTTCCCTCTGAGATTCCACTCTGTCCCATGCCTCTGTCTCTGGATCTATTCTGTTCATTAGATTCCACATATGGATGAGATCATGTGATACTTGTCTTTCTCTGACTGGCGTATTTCACTTAGCATAGCACTCCCCAGGTCCCTCCATGCTGTCTCCAAGGGTAAGAGAGCCTTCTTTTTCTCTCCGCAGTAGAATGTGAGGCCTATGGCTCTGTGCCATCTCAGTTCCAACAAATGCTTAGGGATTTTAAGACACTACCAACATCTCATTCCATATGCCAAGAAACTCATGCTTCAGACTAGAAAACAACCTATTTTGGGGTTGAGGGCATCAGGTGACCTGGATAACCATGGGACGACCGACTCTGCCACAGGGCCTCCCCTTCCTGACCTCCGGTCCTCGGGGAAGCTGCACTAGGGACTCTGCTCCGACTGTCCATCGATGGGTGGCAGCGCCAGCAGGATGCTTCTTGGGAGCTACATTCAGTGATGTAATAAGGTCATGTATTAAGGTCACACATACGTTATGTGCACTTATAGGTCAAGGGATAAATTATGCCGATATAGCAGCAGCAAAATTATCGTGCCTTCTCTATATCCTCTTCCTACCTCCAAAAGAAATGTCAGACATGATGCAACAAATCTTAAAGGACGTAGCAAGAGTTCCCCAAAACATCTTCAAGGCATTAGAAAATGTCCTTTTAGGTCATTGCTATTCAAACACATAAGCAGCCAATCGATGGGACTAGGATACGGCCAGGTGGGGGAATTCTGAGTTTGGGGTTGTGACTAAACTAAAATTCCATGCATTTCTCACCAGTGTTGGTGACAGTCTCCCACACATCCTAATGTGCCATGCTAAGCAGGGTTCAGTGTTGCTGGAACAACCAAATAGGTATGACAAAGCTCCTCACTGACACTCCGCAGGCTTTAGATCGGTGCAGGCTGCCTCGAGTTAGCCAGGATCACACGTTTCTGCCAGGACTCCTTCTCTGGCTCATCGCAAGATCCCTGGCGAGATCATCATTTGCTTCGGAAAAATATGCCCAGAGGATTACCTCATTACTAACTTAGCAGCCAATGGAGAGGAGTGTAACTCAAATCCAGAGATGTCACAAGGAACTGAGAGCATAAAAGGTGCCTGAAGCCTGCACCGGCCTGTCTGTACACCTTGACGGGACCCCTGGAGAAAGGTGTGCCACTGCCCCAGCCCCTCGCCACCTTCCCTTTGTAGTGTGTCAATGACTCAGTCTGTGGCATCATCTCCTAAAGCCTCCAGAGTGTGTAAGCATGAATATCCGATGGAATATGCTGCTTAACTAGAAATGTGCTTAACACAGAGCATCACCTGGCACAGGCTTGCTTCTATTTCTCGTATTTATTAAAGGGCAAATTACATTTCTTCATTGCCCAAGTTGAACCTAATTTACAACCACTTAAAATGGTGGAATCCCCCCTGGGTAATGAAAAAACAAAACCCTCTCGTTTTTCTGGTTATTTGGGTCATTTGAACAAAGGTGCACCCTCACCGCCATTAGCCCAATGCTGGTTTTGAGCTGTGCATCAGAGCAAGGAGCAGGTGGGCCCTGCCCTGCCAGGTCTCTGTCTCATTTCAATGCGGCCCACTGTCCTTTCCAGCCCAAGCAACCCTTCCTGAAGACTATCCCAGCAACGCCAAGAACAATGTGGAACCACACTTTGCATTTAAGGAACACACGAAATGTGCATCTGAATGGTTTTTAAAAGTTTGTTTAATTCACCCCCACTCCATATGCAGTCTAAAAGACGGTTCAAAGACATCTGCCGGTTTCTAGACCACCTGTTTGAGAAGACTGGATTTGACACACTTCTTTTTCTCGAGCGGTGATGGCCCCTTCTGCTTTTTTGCTCAAATCCACACTCTTGCCTGTTCCCCTGGGGGGCACATACACACTTGGGAAGTCGCTGGGCTAATCTCATTTTGGACACTTTTATGTTTGCTAACTGGCCTTTTTAGGTCAAATCTCAATCGTGGGCTCACTGGAGTCATGCTCTAGTCAACAGAGCTATAAATGCTAAACAATTAAGAGGCAAATAAGCAAAATCAACTTTTGCTTTTCATATTTCCTAGGTAAGATTTGGGGCTTTAAAAAGTATCTTATGGAAAAAGAGAATAGTATAAGTGAGCATTTAAAAAGGATTTTTGTTAGCAACAACAGAGAAACACAATTTAATTCCATTTGTTCCATGGAGAAGAAAACAGGTATAAAAGGAAGTGACTTTATATTTAGATTTAACATGGGTCCTAACCTAATAATGAAACTGTTTTGTTAAAACCACCATAAAAATTAAAACTAATCCAAAATATAATTGCAGTGTTCTTTAGGATTTGAGAGAAATGTTGCAGGGTGAAGCGAATGTTCCCTTGGGTTGCCAAATGAATTCCGAAGAGTGTTTCCTAGGCGGTGGGAATAGAAGGCCACTGTCGATCTTGTTTATCCGTAAGGACTAACCTTCAACTACATGTACAGATTTAAGACTTGCCCTACTGCAATGTCCAAGTATCGGAAACTGTAAGCTAGATGTACCTGCATGGGAAGTTTTTTCACAACTCACACCAGAAGCTCTCAGAAAAGGAAAAAAAAAGCCACTGTGCGGCAGCCTGCAAGGAAAACCCTAATGTAGAAGAACAACTACTTATTTTTTTCAACCGCAGAGTTTGTTTTTGAAAATTCAACTACTGACCTGGCCAGTGTGGCTCAGTTGGTTGAGCGTTGTCCCCTGCACCAAAAGGTGGTGGGTTCGATCAATTCCTGGTCCATGCATGTCTGGGAGGCAACTGATGGATGTTTCTCTCTCTCTCTCAAAAAAAAAAAAAAAAAAAATCAATAAAGACATACCCTCAAGTGAGGATTGAAAAAAAATTCAGCTACTTAATAGTAAAAAGTCAAGGTTTTTGTTTGTTTTACAAGAGAAAGGAGTGTAAGTAAGTTCATAAACCAGTATACAAATGTTTATGAGCCAGTAAATTTAAAAAGACAACAAAGAAAGCTGCATGGGTCCTAAGAGGATATGTGATACATCCCCTCCAGTCAGAGGTATTGTGAGAACAGTCTACGTCCCTCAGAGCGGGCAGCATGGACTCAGGTGCTGCAGTGGCGATGCCGGCAGGCAGCACTGCACTCAGTTATTCCCTAAAAGGAATAGAGGAAGGAGAAGAAGCGCAGTTCTGATTGCTCTTTTCACATTTCAGCCTCTCAGAACTCCATCCCAAACAGAGAGACCGTGAAGGTTATTTTACAGGAATCTGAAAAATGTTACCTCCACCTGCGGGAGAGCTGGGACTGGCAGGGGTCCTGCTGAGGGCGGGCTGGGCGCGGGAGGAACCCACTGCCACAGGTGGCCGCTCACAGGGGCTGGGCTACGACAGCAAGCAAGTGGCCCTGAGGCCTTGAGGTCCTGGCTTTCCAGTCTGTGATGTGGCCGTGGGCCTGTGGGGCACCGACCCCTCTACTGTGGGTTCTGTTGGTTAAAAATACAACAGTTGCATTCGCAGCACTTCAGTTACTTAAAAACAACAACTTCATCCTCCTTTCCCTCATCCAACTGTAAGAAAGGAGAAATTCATTAAGCATTTATTTTCAGGTTTCTGAATTGCTATTAAAATTCAATTAAATGTAAAACCTAATAGCCCCAAATTGTTAGGATTATCTCAAGGGACCCTGAACTGGGCAGTGAAAGTTGACATCAACTGAAATGAGCTGGACTTCCACCGTTGGCTGTCTCCAGGCCGGCAGCCGTCTGTTGTCCCCCCTGGAGTGGTCCCTGCCACCCCTTGGTGAGAGCTCTGGGCAGCAGCGGGGTGTGGTCTGGGGGAAGCTACTGGTTTTGCCTGTTGCTTCCAGAATCACAGAGACTATGATGAACTTGACATTGAACACTGCTGAGTCCTGAGTTGGGGAAAGCCCGTGGAGGAGGGCCGAGTTCAGAGCCTCTTCCCTCCTTTGCCTGGTGTCATACATGGCCCCTGGCTCTCTCTTCTTCCACTGCTTGACTTCCTGTTTCTTTTTCATTGGTGACCCCTCCTAAAGTCTTCTTGCCCGTCGCTTTACTGGCCTCTTCCTGAGGAAGAAAGAGTGGAATGCTCCGTTAGCTCCTGGCCCGCAGACCGTCTGTCCGCTCTAACGGGAGGGGGCAGCACAGGACTACGCAGGCTTCCCAGCTGCCCACGGAGTGGGAGCGGTTACTTGTCTTCAGTTAAAATGACCAGCTTCCCACTGTTTGATAACCAGGGCCCTGTGGCAAGCTGGAGGGGAGGGTGAGCTCGGGAGCAGAACGCAGCCTGCAGCCGGGGAGCAGGCCTTTCTCACCCCGTGCCAGGCTGGCTCCCGAGCCTCCAAGTAGAGGGCACGCGGTGGGCAGCCCCACCACAGCCCATTTCCGGGAAAACAGAGGTCTCAACATGGAGGTATTGCCTGGAAAAAACCTGATGTGCTTGATTTTCTTAAAAAGAATAACAGCTTTAGTACATGTCTAGGCAGTCGCTTTGCCTCAGCGCCTGCATGGACAGGCCAGTGCCTCTACTACGGGCCCTGGTGAGCAGAGCAGCCCACGCTCCCTCTGGACCAGCCCAGCCTCTCAGCTTGGAACGTTTCCTTGGGCTGTGCCTGGGTGTGGGGCTGTCCCCGGAGACTATAAATCAAAGGGCGAGGTCAGTTCGGATCTCCCCGACGGCCAGTGCGCCCGCACACACCTTGGCATCCTGCTCCGCAAACTTGGTGAACATGTTGGCGTAGATCCTGCGGTCCCGCTCGTTGTGCTCCTTCGCCTTTTTCTGGCACATGGAGATCTGCAGCCGCGCGGCCTTGTTCTGGGGGTTGACTGCCAGCACCTTCTCGAAGTCGCCCTTGGCTGACTCGAACTCGTTCATGAGCAGCTGGGCTTCACCCCGCCGGTACAAGCCCTTCTCATTGGCACTGTCTAGTCCCAGGGCCTGGAACACAAAGTGTATGTTTCAGAAAGAATGAGTGTAACTTGTGGGGCTTTGAAAGAAACTCAGTATTTAAATAACTTACTAAAGCTCTCTAGCCAGGGAATTAGAAAAAGTGTACTGAAAAGATGTGCTCAAGGTTATTACATACTACTGATCAAAACACAACGAATTACCCAAACCAATTCCTGTGTTTAATACAATTTCTCTAAAGACCCCAAAGGATTTGGAAGGGGGATCTTGAGAAGTTCGTTTTACAGTTCAATTGAAAGGAGTAAATGACCAAGAATAGCTGAGAAAATTTTGGATAAACAAAAATAATAAGAGGAGAATTGCCTCACCTGAGAAAAAGATGTACTACCAACTACTGACATTAAAACAGTTTGGTCAGTAGCCCGTGAGCAAACAGGTCAGTGGAGCAGAACAAAGCAAGACAGACTATGTAAATCAGTAAGGACAGGGTTAACTTGAAAAAAAAAAAGGGGTCAAAGCAGTAGTTATCCATGTAGAAAATAAGACTTAATTCTTACCTCACATCATAAACACAAAAATAAGTTCTAAATCAAGTATATTTACATGCACTGCCCAATAAAAATAGATTTTTAAAATTATTTTTTTAAAAAAGTAAACCCACTTCAAGTAGGTATTACAAGTATTGAATGGGTTTTTTTTATACTCTTAGGGTGGGGAAGACTTCTAACCAGAAAGGAAAAGACAGATTTGATTCCGTCAACATTAAAACTTTCCTTATGGAAAAAGATGCCATCTCAAGTTAAAAGACAAGTAAGGAGAATGGGGTCCTAGTGTCCCTACTGCCAGACAAAGCGTTCAGAGTCATAATGTATAGATTGTCTCAATCAACCGAAAACAGACCAATAATGCAGTCGAAGAAGGTGAACAGGCAATCACAGAAGTAAAACAATGAAAATAATGTGCAATAAGAAATGAAAAAAATTTGTCAGTTGAGGAAAAAACTACTGGTAATCTTCAATAATAATATATATTTAAATTTAAAATGTTACTGTATTAAAATTATTGTCTTTGACCCAGCATTTCCACTTCTAGGAATTTATCCTACAGAAACAATCCCACAAGTATGCAGAGACACCACGTGATCTGTAACATCACCACCTGGATAGCTACCAAACGGGACGGTGAGACAAACCACAGATGTGTGCAATGGATCCTCAATAGGTATTTAAAAGACTGAAGGAGAGTTTTATGACAGATTGAGAATATGCAGAAAAATGTTCTCGTTTTATAAAATTATGTGTCTGAATCTACACATTCTAATTTTTAAAAGAACTTATACATATATGTTACTCTACACTGTATGGAAAAAATAGAAGGAATATGTGTGAGATCAATGAATGATTTTGGGAGAGATGGTCAACTGGAACCTTATAAATGAACTTTTACTTTCTTGTATGTTTTGTAATTTTTAAACTTGAATAACTTTATACTACTATAATAAAAAATAAAGAAGAAAAAGCTCAAAATGTAATTAACAGTAACATTTTTTCTTTGGCAAAAATTGAGTAAAACATGATAGGAACATATTAATCCACAAAACTCAAGATCTTAAAATTCAAAAATAATCTTACAAAGAATATATGAAATCGTTGCTTGTTTTTCTTATCCCTGTTTATCTTTCAGATACAATTGATTGTTAGCTTTTACCCATAGCATAACACATACTGTTGGCTCTGAGACCAGACACCTGACCTAACGGTCAGCATCACATACATGTGCATAAGAACACCAGAATCACACTTCCGACAGACAACTTCACGAACACCTGGGTTCATAGCTCAGGAAAAGTATTAATAACACAAATGTAAAAGGGAGAGGGCTTCTGATGCTCGGTGGGTCTTTCACACTATTTATATGTATTCCTAACTAGGGAATAAATTTGATGATAACAGTGACTTCCTTATATATCCTCAGTATGAGCAGTTTTATTAAAGTCCTGAAAGGCTTAAGTCACATTTGTTCTTATTAAATTGAACCTGAGGAATTACATGATACCAAGTTATAATCTGATACCAAGTGGTATTAATTTAAGGAAGGTCATGGATAAAATTGTTTCTTATCGAAACTTTTATTCATAATGCGTTATTATAAACTAGAGGCCTGGTGCATGAATTCATGCACAGGTGGGGTCCCTTGGCCTGGCTGGTGATGCGGCCAATTGAGGCAGTGGGAGATTGGCCAGCAGCGGGGGTAAAGGAGCCAAGGGAGGTTGTCTGGCCAGGGGAGGGACCGTGGTAGGTTGGCCAGCTGCTCCTGATTGGGGTCAACTGGGGCCAGCTGGCCAGGGAGAGGGACTGCACCAATCAGGGCCATGGGGGGGGGCGGGGGGGAAAGGACCCTGGGAGGTTGGCCGGGCGTGGGAGCATACTGATCACCAGGGGACAGCTCCTGCATTGAGCATCTGCCCCCTGTTGGTCGGTGTGTGTCATAGCAACTGGTCGTTCAGTCGCTTAGGCTTTCATATATATAGATAGTCTAGGCATCAGAAAAGTCTTTAATCAAAACCTTTCTGAACTTCCCAGTTCATACTGAGAAAAAAATCCCAAACGAAAAAAATAAAGCCAAATGAAAAACCCTCAACCCTTGGCGAGCAGCAGCGAAGGCAGACCAGGGATGAGGCTGGAGAGATGTGTGGCCTCTGCAGTCCGGCCTCGCAGACGCTACCTTATCGCAGCACTCCACAGCTTTGGTGTATTCTCGGAGCTTCAGGTAGCACATGGCCAGGTTCAGGAAGGCAGCGAGCAGGAACGACTCGGAAGCTTTCGATTCCTTTTCGGACAGGCCATATTCCATCTCGAGCCAGGACACTATCTTCCCGTACTGAATGACCGCCTGCAGGTACTTGCCTCCCTAGGAGAGAAGAGCTGGGCATTATTCTTTACACAGGCTCTAGAGGGGCACACGAGAAGTGCAAGCCCAGGCCTCCCTGGGAATACCAAACCCTCTAAATGGAAACCTCCTCATACAAACCCTGGGATTTCATGATTTGTTTTGTTCTCAGGGGTGGCTAGCCAGGCACTTTTCCATTCTCTCTGAAGTCCAGTGACCAGTGAGCTGGTCAGGACAGACGCTGCCCTGCCCTTACCCTTGTCCTGTTCCAAGGGGGCAGTGCTCTCAGCGAGGAGGCAGCAAGGCATTGGGGTTGCATTCTGTGGTGCCGATATCTATCTATCTATCTATCTATCTATCTATCTATCTATCTATCTATCATCTATCCATCCATCCATCCATCCATCCGTCCATCCATCCACTTTCCAAAAGGCTGGTGCGTAGTTCCAGACCCTGTCACTAGGTTACTGAAGGGGAAGTGCCTTTTCCCGGGCTCCTGGGCGTCAGCACCGTGCACGAAATACATCCTGACAAACCTAGCGACCTACACCAGGGCCGGCAAACTTTCTGCATGCACTCCACCCTCACTCACTGAGAGAGAAATCACAGAGGTCTACAAGAACGTCCCTGCTACAAAGGACTCAAGAGGTTGGCTTAAGAAATGCGCTCACCTGGAAGGAAGCCCTGACGTCGATTTTGGGCGAGGATGAAGTAGACCAGTGCCAAGTGGAGTCTGGGTCTGAATGAGGCCAAAGCTGCACCCCACTGAGCACCCCTCTTCAGAGGGAGCTTAGGAAAGGCGTGACAGAGAGCTCCCCGTTCCACTTGACAAAGGCAGTGCTGAAGGACTGAGGTTTCTGAAGGAGGCTACGAAAGTTAGTCTGTTTCTTCTTCACCTCAGAAATTTGTGATACAAGTTGCAAGATTATGAAACCAGGCCCTTTCAGAGTAAATGCTGAAATTCTTGAGGAAATCATATTGTACTTCCTATGGACTGAACTGAATCCCTCCCAATTCATACACCGAAGCCCTGCCCCCAATGTACTGTTTTTGGAGATGGGACCTTTGGGAGGCAATCAGGTTTAGGGGAGTCTTGTAGGGGGTGTCCACCAGATAGAATTAGTTCCCTGCTTCCTCTCTCCCCACCCACAGCAGCTAGGGAAAGTCACGTGAGGACACAGCAAGAAGGATGCCTTCTGTGACCCAAGACCCTGCTGGCACCCTGGCCTTGGACTGCCATCTCCAGAACTGGGAGGAAGGAATTCCTATTGTTCAAGTCCAGTCTCGGGCGTTTCACTGCGGCAGCCGAGGTAACTAAGACATAGTTAGTGCGCCTTTCTGGGCACCAGGTGAAGCAGCCCTCCCCAGTGTCAGGGTTGGCGTTTTCTCTGTCACCCTCTCCTGCTGCACCGGGAGCTCTTTGAGGACAGGAAGCATGTTCCAACCCTTCTGGAGTATTGAGGATTTAGTACAAATAGGCCCTTAATGAAGGGCTGCTGACTAATATAAGGTCAAAGAATATAATTATGGAATCCAAAGATCTTCTATCATTGGGGGCAATGTGGAGGTGGGTAGAAATGAAGGGTGTCATTTCATTTAGATCAGGTAAGGACATTTTCCCATATGCCTAGTTTCTTCTTCCTCTTTCCTCCTTCACTAATTCACCTATTAAGTTCTAATTACCTCCTCATATTTTGTTATAGGAAAAGAAAAAGAGAGCCAGGGAGGACAAAGACCAGATCTTATAACTTCGGTGGGTTTGGAATAATCAGAATGGTAGAAGCCTACAGTTTCTAAAAAGAAAAACAAGTAATAGACTTCATAGTAGTTCCTTTACATTGAAAGAGCATTTTAATTTCTTGAAAGCTCTTTCATATATATCACAATCATACATAATTTTATTTAGATCCCTTCTAACGAGCACAGTACAGGTAATTTGTTTTGTGGTACTTCTGCTTCTGATGTGCTAACAGGAGTTCTTTACTGGGGGCACATACGCCTCCGGGACATTTGGCAATGTTTGGAGATGTCCTTTAGTTGTCATGTACTAGTGGCATCTAGTGGGTAGAGGCAAGGAATGATGCTAAATAACTTACAGCGCCACGGCAGTCTCCCACTAACACAGAATCATTTGGCCCCAAATGTCAATAGTGCGAAGGCTGAGAAATCCTGCAGTAAAAGAATGCAGAAGGAGCCCTGGCCGGTGTGGCTCGGCTGGTTGGAGCATCATCCCTTGCACCAAAAGGTGGCAGGTTCAATTCCCAGGCAGGGCACATACCCAGGTTGCGGGTTTTATTTCTGGTTGGGGTGCCTCTGGGAGACAACTGATCAATGTTTCTCTCTCACATAGATGTTTGTCCGTCTCCCCCCGCCCCCCTAAAATCAATTTTTAAAAAATGCAGGAGGAGAAAAAAGCAGGGCTGACTCATAAATGGCTTGTTTCTAAATCATAGCACTGGTTTCTTGGTTCAGCCAGGGTGGTCAAAACATAGTAAAGCCTGTTTGTCTGAAAAGGGTTCCGTGGTTGAAAGACGATCCTTAACTAGCTTGCTTTGGAAATGCCTTTTCCCCACAGAGCACAAGGGGGCGCCCCATGTCACTGCTGGGTCCGCAGCCTTCTCGCCACCGCATGGTCAGAAGAAATACCAAGCACGTGTGAGAGTGAAGGCTTTGTCCTGCAGATTGCTGCCAGCAAGAGGGAGGACATAAAAACCATTTCTGTTTCCCTGAGGTGCACAGCGCCTGGCATGATGTCACGTTGTTACCGAGGCTTAATTATGTTTAGAGCCACATGAAAAGAGTCCTCTCCTACCTTTCTTCCCTTCAGTGTTCAGAGGCTGAAAAGGAGGAATGTACAATCTATGCAGCAAAATCGTTCCTATTTAGCTAACCAAAATCCAACCCTCCTAGGAGAGAGATTTACACACTAAAGTGTAAACCAAATCGCAGATCAATGGAACTGGAGCTGCAATGCCCTGATGGCATGAAATGCACATTTTTATGTCACCATCTCTGCCGTCACCCAGTTTGGACGTCTCTGCCTGCATGTGGACAACACTCCAAGCCAATCCCCGGAAAGACGAGGCCCAGGAGGGCAGGGTGGAGCGCTGAAACCTGCCCTGAACTCTGAAAAGGGAATGTGGACAGGAAATGACCCACCGACCAGTTTGAGGCCTTAGAGCTAAAAGTAGGCTCACTGCCGGGATCTTTTACCTCTAATTAGGAAGGTGCCTCTGGGGAAGTGTTCAGAAGTACAAAATGTTCAGAGACATTCTGGGAGAAAGGCTTAGGTCAGTGGTTTTGAACCTTTCATTAATTTTCCCCCAATAGCCTAGTGTTTTGAAAGATTTCGTCTGTCAAATTGCATGTTAAAAATAATATGTTCCATATGTGTGACTGCTGATCCAGATTTTATTCAAAGATCAGTAATTTTAAGAGGGTTCACAATATTTTGAAACACACAAATCACTACTGCAGTTGTGGTGCTAAGAAGCAACCAAGTTCAGTAACTGTATAGACACCGAAGCAATGCTTTTTGCTACTGGTCACAAATTCTGGCATCTCTCTGTATACATATTCGGGACACAGCCATATGGCCTGTGGCTTTGCAGCATTACTTCATTATCAGTAATGTTCCCCAAAGTTATGAGCCATCAGCAACCAATAGTTTCTGAATCGTCGAGCTGTTTTGCTACATTGAGTTGATATGGTTCTAGTTAAATGCCAAGCGCCTCAACCCCCTGCCCCAACTATTAATGTTCTATTTAGAAGTTTGGGAAATATAAAAAAATACATTTAAGGACTTTAATGGACTCCAGGTATATAGGAAACACTATCCAGGACCTGTGGTCTAAAGGGATTTTTACAGAAAATTTTCTTTTTATTCTAGTGTACTGTGTATTTGGGTTTATAAAAAGCACACTTGGAATGAATAGTTTAGAAGTATCCAGTATACATAATTGAATTAAAAAATCAAACTTGCTCTTGAGAGTTTAAAAATTTATAGGATTTTAGGGCTGGAAGAAACTTGGGGATTATCTAATCTAACTCCCTCAACTGAAAAAATAACCTCTTTAGCATTTAAATGACTTTAAATCATTTGGAATCATAAAGCCCAGTTTCCAATTCAGAGCTCATTTCACCACTGTTTTCTGGTGATCCATACAGTATATATAATAAGTGTTAAAAGTAAATATAAATAATTATGTATTATGTAAGCCAACATATTTCAACTGTATTTAACCAAAACCCATAGTAAAAAATAAGTCTTAAAAATGTCTTATATTATGATCCACTACCCATTCATACACAAGTAAACAAAAGATTTATAAAACATTTATCCTTAGTACATAATGCAATATACATTTCCACAATACTGATTTCATGATCTAGTAATGGGTTTCCCATCCAAGTTTGGAAAACAATAGCCATGCATGCTGCTCCTGGGCTGCATTCACTCTGCTTACGCAGGCTCACAGAATTCTCCAGGCGTTTCATGTGAGTGCACGTGGCCTCCACTCCCTCCAGACAAGGCAGTCAACCAACAGCGTATCTCAGAAGCAATGCTCCACAAGGACGTGCCGAAGCACAGTGTGCATCGCTGCTGTAGACTGCTGAAAACAGCATCTGGTTTTTGTTCTTGGATTGCAGTGGCAAGAAAAAAAGAAAGAAGGAAGCCTAACAACACTGCCCTCTTCTCTAACTGCTCACCAAGCCCTTTGCGGGCACAGAGCAGGTCCATGGAGTGGGAAGCACTGAGGGGCACTCTGATTAGAACTGAACAGGGTGTTATTTCTTTTTTGTCCTCAATCTGGGGGTTTAAGATCTAACGGAGGAAATCACATCTTCCTAGGTGTTACAAGAAATGGTTTTCGAGAAGCAATGAATGACAAAGATCATTCACAAAAGTAGGTGTGTGGCCATCAGAAGAAATGAATCATCTCCTATCAGTTTCTTTTAAAAAAAATATTTTTATTGATTTCAGAGAGAAAGGGAAAGGGAGAGATAAAAACATCAATGATGAGAGAATCATTGATTGGCTGTTTCCTGTACGCCCCCTACTGGGGATCAAGCCCGCAACCCGGGCATGTGCCCTTGACAGGAATCGAACCCTCAGTCTGCAGGCTGGCACGCCATCCAATCAGCCAAACCAGCCAGGGCTCAGTCAGTTTCTTTTGAAATCTGTGCCTGTTCTCTTTCCTTCTGTCACGTGCCTTAGTGACTCCACTAAGACGGTGGAAAGGAAAATGATGTGAAACTTACCCTTATGAATTCCATCACAGCTAACAATTATTTTATTCTTTCTTTGTTTCATCCCACAGACACTCATTGGTGCCAACTATGAACTAAAGCAAGATGCCTCATGTCTGCAGTGAGTGATCCAGTGGGGGTGGCTGGGCAAGCCACGCTGGTCTTTCTTCAGGGAGGGTTACAATCCAGAGTAGTCCATGCAAAAGGGGTATCTGTGCCCTGGCCACATGGCTCAGTTGGTAGGAACATTGTCCTGTACACCAAAAGGTTGTGGGTTCAATTCCCAGTTAAGACACATACCTAGGTTGTGGGTTCAGTCCCCGGCTGGGGTACAAACAAGAGGCAACCGATCGATGTTTCTCTCTCACATTGGTGTTTCTCTCTCTCTAAAAATTAATAAGCATATCCTTGGTGAGGATTTAAGAAAAAAGAAAAAGAGGCATTTGTATTCTTTTGTCACCTTAATTCATTCTTTCTCACTATTTTTTATACTGTAAACGATAGACCTGTAAAAATTCAGGCTTACTCTTATCCAGAGGGGTGTTGATAAAATTCAGAGCAGGGAATACCAGCACAGTTCATTAACCTCTGAGTGAGTTCTCTGAGACAGAAACTCACATACCTTGAAGTACACAGTTCCCTTCTCCTTGACGATGGCAGCCTGCTCCAATTTTTCTTTGGTATCCATCTCCCAGGATTCTTTGGCCTGTTATGTAAATATGTGACAATGGTTAGGTGAATAGAGAAGGAAAAGGCGTCAGCTGATGCCCATAGAACAAGCAGTAGCTCTCTGTAGAGGCCACCTACACCTCAAACACACTGTCTTTTAAAACTCTGCCACCACCAAAGTGAGTTCTAGTCACTGCCTGGCTAGAACTGGCTTTCCAATGACAGCTGCGCGGGACCCTGCTGCCCAGGAGGAGACTGCGGCAGAGCGCGTCTCTGGAGAGGCGTGAGATGAGGTCACACAACAGAAGCTAGGGTTCCTATTTCCCTCCCATAAATGGCACCACTCAGTTGCCATTATGACTTGGAGCTGTTTCTCTCAGGCTTTGGTTTTCAACTCTAAAATGGGAACACTATTGCAGGCAAGTCACAGTTGTGTATTCATGAGAATTTTAAAAATCCAGGCCATGTAGTTGTCTTTTCCACTCTAACGCAGCCAGATATATAAAGCTTCCACACTGTATCCACCTGCAGATGTATCCTTGGGGAATTTCAAGCAAAACATAACTGGGTAAAGCTGATGTAAAAACACAATTCCAAAGCCATAGATAAACGATTTAATGATCATCTGCTCATTTGTATTATATGTCATTATTCTCCCTAATTAAAGGTATGAATCCAGAGACAACTACACTTCCATTATGAACAACTGGATTTAGGAGGATCAGAGTCCACAGAACAATCTGGGGTCCTTCAGGTAAAACAAGGCTATGTCAGAGCCACTTGCTGTGTAGGAATTATAAGCTTAAGTGGGTACTTGTAAAATTCTCTTTCAAGACACTTGGTGATGTATTCCTGGTGTTCCACTCCCACCCCTCCAAAGTAAATAATGAAAATTACTAGTCTTTCTGGCAACCCCATGTTGCTTCCCAACAAATTAGCTCTATCATTTAAAATCTAGTAACCAGGGTCCTTTGCGTTTTTCTATTAGGTTCAGTCTGTATGAAGTACTAAATGTCCTTAACACGAGGCAGAACATCAAATCGCGTTGCCTGCACAGCACACCCCTTCTTCACATGGTTTCAAATAAAGCAGGTTCATGGATGCACCTGGGCGATGACAGACCCAGCTCACTGTGGGCAAAGGAAGGCCCCGGTGGGAAGGGACAGGGAGCTGCTTCATTAAAAAGGGAAGAGGAAAGTCAAACGCCCACATAACCATATGCAAGGCATGTTCTCTAACAATGTGGCGGCAGAGCTGCAGGATCGGTACTGAGCTAGCAGGCCGTCTAAAGAGGTACTGTGACAAGAAGCAATGGTCAATGTTGAGAACATGTTTGCTTTGAGGAACATGAGTGTGAGGTTTGGTCAGCAGCATCATTGCTAGGGGAGAATCCCAAAGCAGAGGGCCTCCCCTGCCTTTCTTAGCCCAAAGCTCAGGTCTACTGGACTGACAATGGTCTCCTTTCAGAATCTAGTGAAAAACAGAGTCGTGTTTCCAGTCCAAAGCTTAATGCACAGAAGCTGGAGGGAGCCCTGAAGCGTAAGAAAGGCGCACCAAATGAGGGCCCTCGGGAGGGGTGGGCTCTGGTGACTGCTGCACAGGGACTCAGCTGGACTCCACAGAATGTCTAGCTTGGGCACACGCTCTGTGCTTGTCCGGTGAGGCTGCTGCTGGGAGCTTCCAGGGGAGGGAGATGGAAATATACTCTAGAGGCCTGCTGTTTCTGCCCTCAAGGCCACTGACAAACTCTTTTTTTCTACTTGGACAGGTATGAAAAGAAAAGGCCTGGGGTTAGCAGGGTGTCCCCGTGTTCCTTGTCACAGAGCCTGGTGGCCCATGAAGCCTTGCAGTTTTGGACAGTAACTTGGAGCCACGCTGAGGGCCTCTTCGCCGCTCCCGAGAAGGGTACAGTCCGTTCAGCACTGGAAAACGGCGCCCCTCCTCCAAGGAGCGGCTTGGCAGAACGTGAACCTTTTTGTCTTCAACCCAGGAAAAAAGTACAAAAAGAACAAGTCTAGGAACAAATAGGGAACAAGTGTTGGATTCTACCCAAAAAAGAAAAAAGAAAAAAGAAAAAAAAGGGCTGACACATAGGAACACACTCTGAACACTGCGCTTTGGAGCTGTGGGTCAGCCATGCTGGCTCAGGGGTCCCAGACAAGACAACATACAAGTAAGACCACTGACTACGCCACCCAGAAATACATTCTATAGGGCACAGGAAGTGGGCAGAGAAGAAATATACCACGATTTCAGAGAAGCTGGTATTCTCTCACCTTTTCGAAGCTCTTAAGTGTAACTTCATATATAAGCTCAGCATTAGGTTCAATGCCAAATTTAGGCTTCCCTGCCTCTCCAAAACCGTATCTGCAATGGAGAGTAAAAAAATAAAACTTTGTAAGAATTGGCATATTTCCAGGCACTTCCTTTGGTACTTTGTGGCATCACATGAGCGCAGAGCTAGCATCGGCAAAGTACACAGACCGGAGACCCTGAGGACAAGCCAGGTGCTGATCAGAAGACCCGCCAGGTGCCCCTGCGGCTTCAGGAACCAGGCCAGACTGAGCCCCCTTCCTTCTTCACATCCCCGTGCAATTGCGACACCTGTTCTCCCCGGGACAGCTTGCTTAATGTGGCCTTAATGTCACTGCCCTTTTGTCTGCTTGATTTTCTATCGAGTTCTTTTGATAAAACAGCCTTCATTGGCTATTAGCCCCTCCCCGAGGCCTCATCAGCAGGAGGGCAGAGGACAGGCACTGCTGTCACACTGCTGTGCCCACAGCGCCATGCATTAGAGGCTTTAGGAAGCTTCCAGCTCTGAAGTGCTGTCTCCATCGAACAGCACCACTTCCAGTCAGATGAACGGGAGGGAAGGCTCACATAGCAGGGGGGAAATACATTTTCACAGTATTTCTTCAATAGTTTTAAAGAGCACACTAGAAAACACAAGTGACATAACTAACATACCACCAAAAAGAAGAGCCCTAGCAAGTTCTAACCCCCATAAAAGACATACTTTCCCCCTGGATGGTGGGGCTCAGTTGGTTGAACGTCGTCCCGTATACTGAGGGGTTGCGGGTTTGATCCCCAGTCAGGGTGCATGCAGGAGGCAAACGATTGATGTTTCTCTCTCTCCCGCTCTAAAAATCAATGAAAACATAGTTGGAAAAAAAGAAAAAGAGAGAAAGCAATATTCTTACAGGTCTGTGGCTCTTACTCTAAATGCTACAACTTTTAGCCAAAATCTATCTGAACAAAATCACTGCAGACATATAAATTTGATTTTCAGATCACATTAATAAATACAAGGCATTTGGGGAGGACACATCTGCCAGAATGAAGTGCTGACGGAGCTTTGTCTGTCTGGTTCAATGGTTTCTCCGGGTTTCGAACAACACCCAGCATATTAGGAAAGCATGCACTGGAATATATTCTGTTCTCATCTACTAGTATTTCAAGCCAGACTACTCTTTTTTTTTTTTAAAATATATTTTATTGATTTTTTACAGAGAGGAAGGGAGAGAGAGAGAGAGAGTCAGAAACATCGATGAGAGAGAAACATCGATCAGCCGCCTCCTGCACATCCCCCACTGGGGATGTGCCCGCAACCCAGGTACATGCCCTTGACCTGAATCGAACCTGGGACCTTTCAGTCCGCAGGCTGATGCTCTATCCACTGAGCCAAACCGGTCTCGGCCAGACTACTCTTTAATATATGGAAGAACATTGCGAAAACCTTAGTAAACCCAAATGTTCAGGCTATGGGTTGAAAGATGTCAAACCAGGTCGATGCCAATGAATTTTCTCTGGGGCAAAAGGACCAGAGTTGGAATATACAAATCCTGCTGCTTGCACTACTCTCTTTACCCCTTGCCTAAATTTTCCCGGAAGAAAATGATTGCTCACTCACCTCCACTGTTACACAACTAAATGAAAGCTGCAGCCGGAGCAAGGCCATGAGAGCTGGTAGGAATGGGGTGTGGTGTCATAATAGCAGGGCAAAGGGTATCTTCAGCAAAGAAACAAGAGGACGTAATTGCCAGTGGCCAATTATAGGAGGTGGTGACCAGTTCTCTACCTGAGCTCCTAGACCTATGTCACTGCTATTGTGTTCCTGCCATCTGGTAAATAAAGAACATTCCGTAACTGCTGGGAACTGGGCTGGGGGAGAGTCCTTGCTGAGCGTGTTTACTGACAGCACGTTATATTTGGAGCCCTGTGCTACACAGGTACAAATCCAACAGATGACCTGGCACGCGCCTCAGACCATTGGCTCTCAACAGGGGTGGATTTAAACCTCCCACCTCATGGATATTTGGCAATGTCTGAAAATGGGTTTATCACACAGAGGAAGGGGGTATAGGCATCCAGTGTGTATAGGCCAGGGAAACTGGTGAACATCCTACTACTATGCACATGTCAGCCCCCACAACCAAGAAACTTTCAGCCCAAGATGTCAGGAGTGCTGAAGATGAGAAAAGCTGCCTTAGTGGAACTCACAAATAGAGGTCTCATGGTGGGCAGAGTGGGGGTAGGGTCAAGGGAGACACCAAATTGTCCTGATTTTTATCAGTGGGATTAAGGAAGATTGGGGAAGGGCATTATTCCTATAACCTCTCCTGGGTTCAGATGAAGAGATTCTGTGGCGATGCGTGTGGAGCCTGGGAGGAGCATTGAGTCTGACTGCCATGTTACACAGAAAGCTGTCTGCCTGACACTACACCAGCCTGGCAGGCCAGGACCTCAGGCACAGAAACGCTTCTCCCTGAAGACAGACACCACAAATGGGATACTAGGACTTAACCAACAGACAAGCTGGGCTACAGTAACAGAAGGAATTCGTTATGTTTTATTTTCTTTTTTTTTATTGTATCTATATGAGAAGATGGATGTCAGTGGAACATATTTCACAATATATGTAATTCAAACCATCATGCTGTATGCCTTAAACTTAATATATGCCAATTATTTTTCAATAAAACTGGAAAAAATATACTTCTATTTGGTGAATTGGAAAGGCGACAAAGCAAACTTTAATAAATCCCAAATAAATAAAAATAAATAATAAATATAATATTCTTGGATCACAATTCAATAAAAATACATTTTTTAAAAGTCAGAAGGAAAAAGTCTTCCTGGCTAGAGATGCTAAAATCTTAATCTTAAGAAAACTGTTGATGCAGGGGTACTTCAAATAAATACGATAATATGTGTAGAAAAGAATAACAAAGAAAATAGTATATGTCAGAATCTCTGAGATACACATAAAATGGTACCCAGGGGAGCATTCATAATATATATTTTTAAATATCCCAAATCTAATTTTACTCCTTTTGCATATTATTCATGTAACAATTTGTAGTACTTACTGATATACCTTTATATGTATTTGCTCTCACATGCATATACAAGTATATAAATATACAAATAAGCAGGGATTAATTTGTAGTCTTTAATTACAGTTTTAAAATATAATTAATTTGGTAATAAAGTAAAACAATATAGATGACATTAATGTTCTTGAATAGTTGCCTGCAGACAGCTGAGATACAAATAGTGACTATTAATGACCATTAGCCTTTATGTGCATATAGGCACTTAAGCCATAAGTTCTTACCAATTGCTGCCTTTTTATAGACAAAGAAACTGAGGCTCAGAGAGAAGTGCTTCCTGAGAGTCACACAAAGAGGAGTGCAGAGCTGGGATTTAAATTCAGACTCTGGAACAACAAAAATCACAGACATTCCAGAAAACTGGGATCTTAAGCCAGCCAAAGGAATGATATTTCAATTTTTCATTTTTATTTTTTTATTATTATTTTGTTAGGGTTTTTTTTTTTTGCTTTTT